GCGCTGTTGTTGCAGTGAGCCGCTTCTTTTTAGAAGCTTGGTCTTGTAACAACAGTCAGTGCATGTATCGTTCTGAAGATGTAAACATACTTCTATAGTGAAACATTCTTTTGTGAAATATTCTTGTGTCAAAATTCTAAATTGTGAACTGTGTTGTGCAGTGTGAACTATTCACTATTCATATTGAAATATTCTTCAGCATTGAAATATATCAAATATCAAATTGAACGGGCTTTCATTGAATCAAGCTTCTTTCAACAGACCGGAATTCGAGAAAAGCCGATGCCTTTAGTCTTAGATCACAATTTATTACAGTCCGCTAAATTCGTCGCTAGTGCTACAATAGCATACAGATCGTACTCACGACCTTCAGATTTCTCCAAGTTGAGGATTATGAGACTGACGCGCCTTTACTGCGCTACCGAGGCTCGGCGGACCTAAGGAATGTTTATACATGGGTACGTCATTGTTTGTGTAGAATTCTTAAATAGTTTTCCTACGAATTCTGTTTTGAACCCACATAACGGGATATTAGCCGCTTTATAGGCGTTATCATCCTTCGTGACTATTGAAACACTTTGTGCGCAATTCGATAAGAGCATAAAGTAAATTGGGATTGAATTTTTTATAATAACTTTTTTGAAATATATACCTGATAAGAACATTAATTTTAAACGAATTAAAGAAAACAAACTATTCAACAAAAATTTTAAAAGTTATTAGCCTCATTTAAAATTTCGTCTGCCTCAAAAGGCCCTTGTTACTTTTATATGCTACATAGAATTAATGTTTTTATCATCAAATTTTTTATTTTCTTTTTTAAATTCCGTCTTTTCAACTGTTACCAGTTCTGAATTCGAGATGTATACTGTGATAGGTTTCAATACCATCTGTTGCAAAACGTAAGGTTCCACCGGATTTGAACTCGGATCGCTGGATTCAAAGGATCGTAGTGCTAAACTTGTTACACCATAATTTACCCAAGTTTCCACACACCAGTAGTAATCGAACCAGACTACACCTGGGTGAAAGCCAGGAATCTAACCACGCACTAGACCTACATGGGACTCCCTTGAAACACATCCCTGCTTTTCCTAAAAATATACAACGTCTGTATTCCTTTATGTAAATTTTGATTCAACATTTGAGTATTTTTTAGTCAGTTTTCTAGTTCTGAATACATGTTTACCAGAAACAAATATATTTTACACCATCTTTTCTCGAAATGGAAACAACTTTGATTTTCAAAGAGTAAAAGCAATCCGTACATCAAATAAAAAGTGAAATATGAAAATTTCGGATCATAAAGCATTTACGCTCGAGACAGCCGCTTTCAATCTAAGACGGCTCAAAATCAAACCAAATGCACCCCGGTGAGGATCAGACTCACGACCTTCAGATTCTCCAAGTTTAGGATTATGGGACTGACGCGCTGCCTACTGCGCTACCACCGAGGCTCAGCGGACCATAGGAATTTATATATGGGTACGTCATTGTTTGTGTAAGAATTCTTTTAAATATTTTTCCTACAAAAATCCTGTTTTTGAACCCATAACGGGATATTAGGCACTACAGGCGTTATCATGCTTCGTGACTATTGAGAAACACTTTGTGCACAATTCAATAGAGCATAATATAAATTGGGATGGAGATTTTTTATAATAACTTTTGAAATATGCCTGAAAAGAACATTAATTTTTAAACAGATGAAAACAAACTATTCAACAGAAATTTTAAAATTTATCAACCTCGTTTAAAAATTTCGTCTGCCTCAAAAGGCCCTTGTTACTTTTATATACATAGAATTAATGTTTTTATCATCAAATTTTTTATTTTCTTTTTAAAAAAATTCCGTCTTTTCCAACTCTTACCAGTTCTGAATTCGATATGTATATTGTGATAGGTTTCAATACCATCTGTTGCAAAACGTAACTTTCCACCGAGACTTGAACTCGGATCGCTGGATTCAGAGTCCTTAGTGCTTAACCATTACACCGGAACCCAAGTTTCCCACGCCGGGAATCGAACCGGAGCCGCCTGGGTGAGAGCCAGGAATCCCAACCACTAGACCACATGGGACTCCTTTGGAAACATATCCTGCTTTTCTAAAAAGTACAACGCGTCTGTATTCCTTTATGTAAGTTTTGATTCAACATTTGAAGTATTTTTAGTCAGTTTTCTAGTTCTGAATCCATGTTTACCGAAACAAATATTTTACACCATCTTTCTCGAAATGTAAACAACTTTGAATTTTTTCCAAAGAGTAAAGCAATCCATTGAATCAAATTCAAAGTGAAATGAAAATTTCCGAGACTATAAGCATTTACGCTCAGAGACAGCCGCTTTCAATCTAAGACGGCTCCAAATCAAAACCAAATGCCACGGGAGGGATCAGACTCACGACCTTCAGATTTCTCCAAGTTGAGGAGTTATGAGGTCTGACCTTTGCCTACTGCGCTACCAGGCTCGGCGGACATAATGAATTTTATATATGGGTGCG